TTCTAATTAACTCTTGTATTCACTCTCTTCCTGGAGGCCATCGCTAGTTTGTTGGAGGCCATCGCTATTTGGTTAGAGGCCATCGCTAGTAGGTTGGAGGCCATTGCTATTAGGTTAGAGGCCATCGCTAGTAGGTTGGAGGCCATTGCTATTAGTAGGTTGGAGGCCATCGCTAGCAGGTGGAGGCCATCGCTCTTAAGTTGGAGGCCATCGATATTAGGTTGGAGGCCATCGCTAGGCCGCTAGTAGGTTGGATGTGCATGGAGGCCATCGCTAGTAGGTGGAGGCCATCGCTAGTAGGTTGGAGGCCATCGCTAGTGGGTTGGAGGCCATCGCCAGTAGGTTGGAGGCGATCGATATTAGGTTGGGGGCCATCGCTATTTGGATGGAGGCCATCGCTATTAGGTTAGGGGCCATCGCTAGTAGGTTGCAGGCCATCGCTCTTCAGTTGGAGGCCATCGCTAGTAGGTTGGAGGCCATCGCTCTTCAGTTGGAGGCCATCGCTAGTATGTTGGAGGCCATCGCTAGTGGGTTGGAGGCCATCGCTAGTAGGTTAGAGGCCATCGCTAGTAGGTTGGAGGCCATCGCTATTAGGTTAGAGGCCATCGCTAGTAGGTTGGAGGCCATCGCTATTCGGTTGGAGGCCATCGCTATTAGGTTAGAGGCCTTCGCTATTAGGTTGGAGGCCATCGCTAGTAGGTTGGAGGCTATCGCTAGTGGGTTGGAGGCCATCGCTATTAGGTTAGAGGCCATCGCTAGTAGGTTGGAGGCCATCGCTAGTAGGTTGGAGGCCATCGCTATTAGCTTGGAGGCCATCGCTCTTAGGTTGCAGGCCATCGCTCTTCAGTTGGAGGCCATCGCTAGTAGGTTGGAGGCCATCGCTATTAGGTTGGAATTGCTTCCTCGGACAGGCTTGTTCTTTCATTCTCTGCAGGCCGAAGCCTCCGATGGCTCCTCCTGTGTCTCCTGCATTGCTGCAGCCGTGCACGCCGACGGCCAGCCACTCCCAGGAGAAGCCACGTCGAAGTCGGAATGCACGACGTCAGATTGGGTTTCCTTAGATTTTCTCAGCACGTGAAGCATTTACATCCAAACCCGTTGGTGGGGAAAAAGGTAGCAAAAACAGGAGGCATTTGAATGAACAGGTTTGGCGAAGGAAGGTCCTTCATTTCAGACTGAAGTAGTCTAATTCAGGGATAGGACACATGTTGGAATTGTAACATCTTGCTGGTGATTTATCTCACTGCTCTGCACCAAAAACCCTTTGAAGTCTCAAAATGAGGATAACCCCTGCCGGTCGCCAGGCTCTTTGCCCGAAGGCTATGACTGCATCTTGGCCCTGCAGGCGGTGCGCCACATCGTGGCTCCACCGCCGCACTACGCGGCGAAGCTGCAGCTGGAGACCGTAGCAGGTGCAGCTCAACGCGGGCACCGGAAAAAGAGTGAGGTCAAAACCAAATCTCGTTTTTTTTGTTTTTAAGGGGGGTAGGCCGCTAGTGGTGAGGTAGCTAGTAGAAGCGGTAGCTAGTACCTTACTTGAGCTACTAGTAAGGAAGCAGGATAGCTCACGCTTTAGCTCACGCTTCGCACTAATGATTTGGTTCCTAGATTTTTAGGGAAACTAGTCGTACTACCCACCGACCGAGTCAGTCTTAAGGGCTTGCTTGCAAAGCATATACATGCATACATATTTGGTGGGTATGTAGTTCAGTATAATCCAGCAACTGCAACGCATTGCTCGAGAAACCGCCGCTCCACGGCAGGGGAGGCCATTTGCGCAGGCTATGCCCGGATGTTTGCTGGGCTTTATGCAAGCGTGAAGCCTGGAGGTGGGGTCGTATTGATTGGTGGCGAATGAAGCGGAAAAAATTGTATTGGTGCAGTGCAAGGCAGAAGTTTTGGCTATGGCCTGGAACTGCAGTAACCCTACTGTGGCAGAGTGGTAAGACATAAGAGGAACAATAAGAACCAACCAAAACCTACAGCTGTGAAGGTTTTAGAGTTTCTAGCCAGACCCAATGTGGACAGAGAATGATATAGATGAACATGGTGTTTGAATCTCTTGGCAGCATGGCTAAACACTAGAGAGTAAGAGCCTCTACTACTTATAACTCTATTGGGGGCAGCCCACAGCTTAGTCGAAGCACGTGCATGGTGGCGTGCGCACTCAACACCAAGTCGTTCGCGGGGATTTCGCCACCAAAAGTCCATACAAGGTAGAAACACATTTCCCTTCAAAACATAGTAATTAAGGTTCTGATCCAAAAAGGCTAAAGTTGCCAACCGGTGGCAACAAGAAAGGCGGCCCCTTTTTCTGGTGAACGGATGGCCTTGCAGTTGGGAGGCCATGTCTTTATTGGCGATCATGTAGTTCATCAACATCCGGGAGTTTTCCAACATTGCAAGCTGCTAGAAGCTGCGGGCTTCACGGACATCGACGCTTGGATTGGTCGGCTTCGTGCGATCGTGCGGATCCACTTGCCAATTAAGTCTGGATTAGCTTGATGGTTCTGCAGGATCACCACTTGTCTGGTCGGGGCCACTTGTTACGTGGTGAAGGTCGTGAGATTTTCACCCACTTTACCAGGATCAGAGGGTCGGACAGAGGGTCTCCTTGTTCCGTGACCTAGTTCCTTTGTACTTGCCAAAGGTATCTAGTCCTTCACTTCGCTTCTTGGTCAAGGCCGACCATCGACTGTGATATGAACAGTGCCAACCAGACGCATGGACCTGTGCCAAACATTCTTGACAAAACCCTACTACGTACGTGGCATGACCTCAGAGTCCCCCTGTGCTGGATGTTCCGTGCGAGCACTCCAAGTGCCCCAACCGGCCGTCACGCTGTGAGGATGTTGCTTGGCGACAGAACGATTGGTTTGTGATTGGTGCTCGACGGCCGGTCACCTAGAGGCGAGGGGGATCGAGAGGGTTTAAACGACCTCCTGCTATGAGCCAGCCTATGCTGTATACGGTACATTGCCAAGGCATGTCACTATATATATATATATATTTATGAAGAATCTGGAGTAGTATATAGAGAGCGAAGTCTTCATCGATATAAACTGAAGAGATTCATTGACCAAAGAGGTCGAGGTTCAGCGATCCCATGGTATTATTGGATAGTGCAGTCCTTGGACGCGCACCCATTTGGTAGAGGACGTTCAAGATTGGTTGGAAAGTGAAGAGATGAAGCCTTTGTAACCTACTAGCGATGGCCTCCAACCTAATAGTGATGGCCTCCACCTAGTAGCGATGGCCTCCAACCTAATACATAAGTAGCAATGATGACCCTGTTCATTTGGTATCACTTCATGGTCAACATTTTGAAGTTGTTGAGATGTGTAACAAGCAGCACCCAAGTGGATCCGAGTGGGTCATACCGTCATACCCAGTTTGCAGACTAACTTAGAACAACTGACTAGCGGTGTTGCTACTCCTAACACACTCCTGGTAGCTACTACTCAGCTACACTGGAGTCAAGAGGATTTTTCGTGATTTGTTATGTTTTGCAGTGATATGAGCCTGCTGTTCCTCGCGTGATTTAGAGTCTTGGACCATTGCATCATTTGCCAGCGTTTGTATTGGCAGAATGAAGAGGAAATGATTTGATGCGCGTTGCCAGCTGTTTTGTCGCCGCATGTATGCAGCCTTATCAGCCTTGGCAAGCAGTGTCGCCTCCGCAGTTTCGCAGGTTCACCTTTGGCGCTTTCTAAAGCTGCTTGGCCTTGAAAGGTGACTTGCCTGACCATGCAGAAACTTTTATGTCGCTCACTGGGGCCTACCAGAGGTTTGAGCTACCACGGTTGCGTCGCCCCGCGACAAATTCTTAAGGTTGAGAGATAATGTATACAGTATATAGTGCTGATTTGAGTTGATTCTTAAGTTGCTGGTCCTTTCTACCTGGATGTCATGTCACAAGATGTGTCTTTTCTTAGTGGTGTTGGTGTTTTGCAGAACCTCCTTCATTGATGCCCATGGGGTCTGCTGAATCAGCCGAGTAATCAGCCTAAGACATCATTGGTTTCGGTCACCGTTCATATTGCACACTAGCCAGCTTTCGCAAGTTGAGCAGTCATACCTGTTTGATGAGGGGCACCGCATGACAGGTCGAAGAACTTTGCGGACTCCGGTGCCAACTGATTGGCCAGCCAAGTGTTGACCAAGCCGAGCCAATGCGCTCCCATTCTTGTTTCATGCACATGCTTATGGGCATTTATGGGCCCAAATGGGGCCGGCCATCCAATTTTATGTCAAGTGTATGTCCGTGCCGTCACAGAAAACTACATGACTCCAAACTGCGAGGGAAGACTGGGAAGACTTGTCCATGGTTTTGGCTGTTATTGCCTCTACCGTTGCTTGCCTTTGTGGAGCGAAATGAGTTCCTTAACCCCAAGGTCAATTATGGCATAGACCTTGCTATGTAATTTAGCTCCTTAAACTTAAACCCAACCTGACGAACGATCTTGTCTCTGGGATGAGTGCCATGTTTGTCACCTTGTTGTCAACGGGCATAGGCTTCGTCCGTATCTTCGGAGCTCGTTCTTGTGCAGAACGGTTTCAATGTTGCTCAATGACTGGCCATTGTTGGGAGCAACCTTCCCGACAGTGGAAACAAAAGCTCGACAGTGAGTGAAGATGTGTTTCTGAGCAAAGAGGAGCGAAACTCTTTGAGGGGGACGCACACGATCACGGTGAGTAGTTTCCCATTGAGGCGACACAACTCCCTGCAGGATCACCAGCTACCCTGGACTTGGAACCAACCACTGTTTCTGGTACTGCTTAGTGGCACCTACATATGTCGGTTTCGGGTATTTATGCTGGTATGGCCAATGCAATATTACGAAGCAGTAGCAGAACGTTGCCCTAACATATAGTGTGACCCTCTTCCCACACACGTTCGGACAAAGCATGCCATAGCCACGTGGATTGATCTCGTGTCGTTGATCGTCTTCGATTCTTCACCATGTCTCGGACGCATCCCGCCGGAGCTGGCGGCCCAGGTCGCCGGAGTTCCCCGAACACGGCCACCAGCAACACGCTGGTGCTGGGCATCATCGACCAGCTGGACGGTGCGAGTTGCGGGGGAGGGATGGGCCCATTGGCTGGTGCTGCGCGGTCATAGTGGTTGTACTATGTTGATCTATCTTGTTCTCCCAGATTTTGGACAGATCCAACATTTGGGCTAGGAGTATATGATACTAGCGAGCCAACTCCCAAAGATTAAGGAATAGTCCGACACCACATACAAGCCCGACCCTCACAGGTAGGACAAAATGAAAAAACAATCCCCCAAACTGATGTCCAAGCTGTTCTATCTCAGGTTTGTCTCCCCGTCATCAAAGACAACGAGGAGTGTGGTGTTGCAGTGTTTTTATTTGTGCATAGAAATCGATCTTTGTGCCAGGCACGAGAGCGATAATGATAGCACAACGATTACAGAGCTAGCTTAAAACACCTTCCCGTACACTTGTACACAATTGGCCCACACATGTACGAGCGCTGCTAGTCTGGAATGAACTGCGCCATGGCGTCATGTTTGCCCGAATGCATGCATTGCACACAATTGTACACTACACATGCATACACGTGTTGCAGCTAGTCAAAGCACGGCAAACGATGAAGAAAAGACAACGATAAGACCAAGAGTCAGAGTGGTCAAAGGACAGTTCTTTTGGGGACAACCTCACATGGATGTTTCTCACACCAAGAGCTCTCAGCGACCTTGTTATATATATATATATATTATATGTATATTTACATATTTACATATTCTTTAAATTCTACAAGTATGTAGAATTGTAAGGATTTGTTAGTAGATATTTCCCAACTCATCCTTTTTCAGGGTCCAAAGATGCGACCCAAATCACCCAAACCGTTCTTTGCATTTTCATCTTCGTTTGTCCAAGGGTGTTTTGGGTCTCGTAGCCACACTAATGTGAAAGAACGTGCCATATTTCCGACTCAGGGAAGGCTGGAACACTGGTCCTCAGCCTGGATCAGGCGACGAGAGGGTCCATGAGGGGCCTGATGGGGTCGCAGGAAGTTCGAGTGTGCAGGAGTTGTATAATATACAGCACTGTAGTTGTTTGATTCCTTCATGAGTGGGAAGGCATGAGACAGCCATTTCCTGTTAAATCTGGGGTGAAGGGGTTGTTTGCATCGAGCAAGCAACCCCTACTCGTAGCAACATGGACGAAAGATTGTCCCAAGAAACTCTGAAAGAGTTCTCATTGTTCCAACATGGTGCAACCATTAACAGCGACGGGGCCTTGGGGAACAATGTGGCTGTGGACTCGAAACATATTCGCATGTACTACAGGTACCATTATTTCTAGTGATGAGCACAAGACGCAGAACGCAGAACTTTGAGTAGTTCTTTTTTGTTTTGGTGAGAAACCTTAAAAGGACTAGCCGCCCGCCTGAAGCCTTTCAACAGATTTGGTGCTTGTGGTCGATTTTCTTGGAGCAACCTGGCCGAACCGTCCCCTGGACGACCGGTCCATGCATGTTGGAGAAGGCTGTGCTATAAATTTGTAGAAGATTCCATTGTGACGGCAGTGTTTGTAACTTCTGTCCGATGCCCCTCAAATCCCCTCTGCCGCCAACGGCGGCCCCCAACACATCCAAAGGGGTCTGACAGTTGACATCTCCATCCAAAGGGGTTCTGTCGATCTGTGTCCTGACTGTTCGACTTCGGTTCGACAAGGACGAACCTCACCGATGGGGTCCTGACAGGCCATGGCCTTTAAGGAGCTGTTGGCCCGTGCAGCCGTCGAAGCCTCAGCGCCGGCGAAGCCGGCTGACGTTCGTTCTGGAACGAAGAAAATCTCTTGTTCCATGTTTGGGGAGCGGGATGCCAAAGTCCACCTGTCCTGTCACAAGGGTTTATTGGTATTTGCAGGGCCTCTTAAATTTAGCTTGTGAAGGGGTACCAGATGACACGTCAAAAGCTCAAGAAAAGTCAAAGAAATGCAGATTAGGCAAGAGTGAACAACTTCTCAACTTCGATGAGAACTTTGAACACTGTGCTGCATATGTTCAATTTATGTTCCTCAACGGTGTAGGTGCATATTAATTTCTGCATATGCCATATGCTTGAGTTATCAAATTTCTCAATTCTTTTAGTCTAATGGAAGGACTTGAGCCATCCATTCAAGCCTGTGCAATGATTGTTCACCTTTGGCTTACAAGGCTCACAATCACTGCAGATGCTCAAACTTTCAATTTTCTGTAGTGGTGTAAGTGCAGAAGCACTGCAAAAGCTCGAATGTCTCAAACGTCATCCTTTCCATCTATGGGCCCTAGGCTCACAATCATTGCGTGTGCTCGAACTTCTCAAATCTTGGGAGGTCCAGTGAAGCCTCAATGACATCACAACTGCTGAGAGATTTGAGACACGCGAGGAGTGATTTTGCACATGCACCACTGGGTTCGAGCATATGCAGCGCAAGACACCTCCTGTAGATGACTCCCTTCACAAGAGCTTTTACTGTTTATGCTAGCCTCTCCCATTTCAAAGTGCCGCTGTCTATTCCTCTGCCACACCTTTCATTGAGATGCTTTCTGAAAACTGTCCTCTCTTACTCGGAAGTCTATTCGTCAAGAAAGGGCCTTTACCCTGGCTGATCAGCTCCAACACTGTGGCGCTTGCATGGGAGAGGGAGTTCTTCCAAACCTTGGAGGGTCCATTCTGAGCTGACGGTCACCGACTGGGAGGCAGAAAGTCCAAAAAGGACGGTTAGATGATCAGTATGTACATATTCATATACTGCACATATATAATAGTAGCATAATCATTTACTTACAAATACTAAGCCGGTTCGCCATCGTTGTTTTGCTAAGGGGTACCCTTTCGCGCCCGCGCAGAAAAAGCGGTATTTTTTTTTGTTTTTTTTACCGTTTTTACTGCGGATATGGTATTGAAAAAGGCGCCCCCCGATAAGAACGGTAAAAAAACAACCATTTCGATCTTTACCGTTTTTACCGCGGATATGGTAGAAGAAAAAGGGGCGCCCCCCCCGGTAAAAACGGTAAAAAAAGAAACATTTCGATTTTTACCGTTTTTACCGCGGATATGGTAGAAGAAAAGGGGCGCCCCCCCCGGTAAAAACGGTAAACAACTCGATGTTTGCCTTTTTTACACCGGATATGGTTCAAAAAGGGAGCGCCCCCTGGTAGAAAACGGTAAAAAACACGATGTTTACCGTTTTTACCGCGGAGATGGTAGAAAAGAAAAGGGCGAGTCTACCTGCAAAAACAGAAAATAGCAGACTTTGATTTTTACCGTTTTTACCGTGGAGATGGTAGAAAAGAACAGGGCGAGTCTACCTGCAAAAACAGAAAATAACACACTTTGATTTTTACCGTTTTTACCGCGGAGATGGTAGAAGAAAAAGGGGCGCCCCCCCGGTAAAAACGGCAAACAACTCGATGTTTACATTTGTTCACCGGATATGGTTCAAAAAGGGAGCGCCCCCCTGGTAAAAGCGGTAAACAAAATACACATGTTTTTACCGTTCTTACCGCGCGGATGCCTCGGGGGAACCCCGTAATCCGAGCAACACCGCTAAACCAGCACAGAATACTACAGTAATTACACATACATACATATCACTATATATATATATACACACAAAAATAAGACTTACTGTATATTAAACAACAAAACAGACACACACACATACATATATATATATATGTATATATTACATACAGTTTTGCACAACATATATACACCCCCCTGGGTTCAAAGTTGCTTTGTGCCGCATGTCTTGTGCCGACCGAGATCTGCACGGGCAACTCAACGCGGAGGCTTTTCTCGGAGGACGGAGTACCATGCTTAAATCTGGGTACAGTCCAACTTCCTCCTCTTACATCTTGGCACTTTGCTTTCAGATCCGGACGCGTGGTGTTTCTCTTGGATTGTACACAGAGAGAACACCAAAATATGGGTTTGGTTGATTGTTGAGCACTCTGAGTGTCAGTGGGCCTTTGCCGCAACGAATTGGGAGGTTTCCTGGTGTTCAAATCGCATTTGATTCCAGAAGAACGTATGAAAAGGAACATTTACTAGCTCTTAGTTTTCATCAATGAATCCACGATCATCCCCCTCTATGGCGGTGGTTCGCACCGATCATAAAGCAGCGTCTCATCGCTTGCACGTCCTCTGCCAGGACGGCTCCGAGATCTTTGGCTTGGATGACCTCCGAAGGCTCCACGAGGCCAGCGAGAAGCCCAAGTGCCGTGTCAACCTCAAAGAGGCGCAGAGCCCCGCCCGTGGGTCCGGCGCAGCGCCTGGTGGGTCACCGACGCTTTGAGAGCAAACTGATGAAAAGCATGACTGAAGGCCTTCAACATATAATTGCGATGGCCTCCACCCTAGTAGCGATGGCCCCTAGTATATAGCGATGGCCTCCAAGGTGACCACAAACAAATAGTCGACGCACAATTCAGACATCCACTTTGCAACCTGCACCCTCTCTGACCAATGGCTCATTTGAGTTCTCTACACTGCGCTCGTGTCGCCAGGGAAAAACCACCAAGGGCCGCATCGATTTGGAGGTGGTGAGCACGGATGGCTCCGATTTCAAGTGGAAGTGCCCCTGGCGCATGGGGTTCCGATGCGGACGGAATGATGGCATGTGACACTGTGACACAACTTACGTTTTGGCAGCCCTCCTGGTTTGGATTGGAGATTACTGAAACCCTTTGTACACAGGTGGTGCTTCCTGTCCTTCCTGTCCAGCTACAGACAAAATCATCCAAGCTACCGGAATCCCTCTACCATTGGAGTCAGTCAGTCAGTCAGTCAGTCAGTCAGTCAGTCAGCTAGTTCCGTTCGTTTGTTTGGTTAGAAGCTAGTTGTGTGAGGTGGGGCAGCAACCACGCGCACTACAAGTTCGGAGATTTGATGATCCGCTGCTTGGCAGATTGTGCCAACCATCCGTGGTGCACAAACACTAGGGGGGAACCCGAGAACACCTTTGGGATCCTTTGGGTACCCACCCAGCTTATTTTGTTCCTTTTATGAAAAAGCGTTGAGGTTTGCATTAGAACATGCAATGAGGATCGCCGGAACGAAGTGTAAAAACGTAGTCGGCAGTGAGTGAGTGAGTGAGGGAGCGAGAGAGGGAGGGGGGTGAGGTGAGTGAGTGAGGTGAGTGAGTGAGGTGAGTGAGTGAGTGAGTGAGTGAGGTGAGTGAGTGAGTGAGTGAGTGAGTGAGGTGAGTGAGGCGAGGTGAGGTGAGGTGAGGTGAGGTGAGGTGAGTGAGTGAGTGTGGTGAGTGAGGTTGAGGTTGAGGTTGAGGTTGAGGGTGAGGGTGAGGTGAGGTGAGGTGAGTGAGTGAGTGAGTGATCAGAGAGAGAGAGAGACAGAGAGAGAGACAGAGAGAGAGTGAGAGTGAGAGTGAGTGAGTGAGGGAGGGAGGGAGGGAGGGAGTGAGTTGAGCAGGTCGGGGGGGCGGACGCAGTGAAGGGCAAAAACTCCACACAATGATGTGCGGAAAAACAGTCAGTGGATGTCCGTGGTAGGTGAGTTCCAAACGATACAATTGTTTGCGCGTGGTTCCCCAATTCACTGTAACCGGTCTGATGCCATTTTTTGCAGAAGGAAAGAAACTCAGTGTTGATGTGGAGAAGACCGTTCATCACACACCGCAACCCCAAACTTCGCAGAAAGGAAGACGCTAAAGCTTCAAAAATTGGGGCGAATGTCGAATGTTCCGTGCTGTCCCGCGATAACATGTTTTTTTTCTCTTTTGTCAATTGAAAAAACAATGTGTGTAGAGCTCCAAGGAGCCCGTTTTCGGGGTCCATGTTCAGTCTTGGACAAGGCCAGTTTCATTTCAATACACGACATGTCAAATCAGGACATACATTATGGACACACCAGTTTCGATTCGTTCGCAAGGTCAATGAACATGGCGGACCATGTCTAAAATTGCAACTTTTGTGCTTTTGTAGAAGGCTGTGTGCTGCCTGTGGCGTAGCAGCTCTTTCAACGCCGCTGTGGCCAAACACAAATCCTCTGCCGTATTGCGGAACCGCACTGCGTTCCTACCATTGTGAAGAGTCATATCATGTCGTACCCTTCAACAATAGGATTGGCAGTCATTGACAACAACTCTACAGTTAGGGTTTACGCACGCTTACTCACAAAACATGTCGACTGAGGCCCTCTCTGGCGGGCACTGGCTGGATCCAAGCCATCAAGGACTCGTGCAGGGGTTGGTGATCAGACACCTCAAAAGAACATGCGCAACACAAATGTTTGGAAGAATGGCCGAAACGCTGTCAAGGTCATAAAAGATGCTTGATATTTTGAGTCGCCTGTTTTTTCTTGATTTTACTGTTGGTGAATTCCTTTCTTCCGACGCTTTTATTCCTTCCCTAAAAATGAGACAAGGTGTCCCTCAAAAGCCTCACGCTGCAGTGGACCAGTTTCCAGGCGTGGATTTGAACCCAAGCGAGATCAAATGAGCCTTCCCCACAGCCCCGTGATGAAGATCTCTGTTTTTTGGGGCATGCTACTGAAACAGGCCTGTTCATTGATGTTGTTTTGCGGCATTAGCAGCATTCATGCCACATGTTTGAGTTGCTTCATGATGAAAAGACGCCATCAATGCTGGTCCCGTGTTTATCCAGATTTAGAACCGGGCGGTTCTCACAAGTGTAGCTCAGGTCATGCAGGGCAGGGCAACAGTATCACACATAACATAATGTACAATGTATAATACATGTACGTTTTATACCATCTACTGTAAAACATACCTCGAATGTTTTTCTTCGTCGGCGGTCAAGCATGAACACGGCTCGAGCTTTGGGCACAGCGCTCAGCCTTTTAGACTCCGAACTCGGACCGTACTCGCCATACTGCTCGGTGGTTCCCTGGCACTTTGATACCCCTTCTTTTCTGATTGGACTGCTGGTGGGTATTCTGTTGGTGCCTTTTGTTGAGGTCATTGTTGCATTGCGAGTGTGGGCCCTTCGGTCTTTGCTGGTTGAGCGTCAGGCTGACAGAGGTCAGCCCCCAAGGCCACTTTACCGACTTCATTGATGCCTAGCAGCTCCATTGGTTCTGCAGAGTTTCACGCCTTGCAGGATCAAGTTGAGTTGTTGAGAGGTGAAGTCCACCAGCTCCATACCCAGTTGAGCATCACCCGTTCAGAGGTTCGTGCACTCCAGAACACAGTTTCCGAGGCCTTTGAAGAGACCTCCTCGGTGGGACCATTCACACTGGCTTCAGAGATCAAGGACAGTGAGGCCATTCACTATTCCTCAGGCCCCCAGCCATCTCAAGCCCCTGGATTGACACAAGTTCAGGTTCCCGTGCCTCCCCAGCTGGACACCGCACGGATTTCAGCCGCTCGAAGTGTTGGGCAGTTCCTCAAGAGAGCGGTGCTTGGAGAGCCGAGGGGGGAGTCCGGTCGCGATCGGATCCGACAAGCTTCGAGGTATTGGATTGTGGTTCGTTCTTTATTTTGATCGAGAGGTATTCAGGCCAGTGCGAGTGTTCTCCAAGTGGGGAGCGGCCAAGGACATCGTGAAGCGGGGCTCGGACCTAGGTGACTCAGTCTGCGTTGGTCTGCCGGCCATTGAGGACGTCAAGAACGCCATCGAGGCCGGAGGCTTTGAGTGGGCAGGGCTCATTGAGGGATGAGCGGTGGTGAGGCCGCTTCGGAATTCGGAGCAGAGGGCGAGGGGGACGAAGAGCTTCCTCTTCCTTTTGTGTGGCAGGACGGCAGGATAGATTTCAATTATCCTGTGGGAATTCTCGATTGCATTGATCCGGAAGTGTCGTGTCAGATCATCCTCATTTCTCGCCTTGAAGGCGAGTTGCTGGTTGCAGTTCCTTTTCAGGCATGGCACAGGTTACGAGCACAACGAACTCTGCCAGTCAACGGCCTCTCCAAAGTGACGTCGGCCGAAGTGGCACTCAGCGAGCCGGAAGACCGCATGAGCGTGTCTACAGAGAATTTGAAGATCTGGTTGGGATTCTTGAGACAAGACCTCCTAGCTGGTGTGCATTTCCCTTCGGAGGAGGAAGACATCGAAGACCATGTCATGCTCTTTCAAGCTGGTTCAACCGAGTCATACCCCGCAGCAGAAGCATTGGTCGATGTGGCCCGAGATCATTTTGCTTTTTTCACGGTAGAGGAAGGCGAGCCTGGCCCGCCCGTGCAACCGCTCCCTATCCCAGGCGCAGAGTCTGGGTCGCAAGAACTATCCTCGAGAGTCCAGGCCTTGGAGACGACCATGGCAGACATGTCAGCAGGGATTCAAACTCTGTTGAAGCGGCTCCCAGGCGCCCACTCCTCAGTTCCAGAAGCCAAAGCCCCGCCGATTCGGCGGCCCCAAAAACCCCGGCGCCAGTGACACCGGAGGGACCTCTTCCCTCTTCCCCATACCCGTTGCTTGACCCTGCCGTAGTGAGGTCAGCTCAACAGGCTGGCATCCAGGAATCAGTGCTGCAGGAGATGCAGCAGATGATGGCTGCCTCGGGCAAGGCCAAGAAGTTGAAGGAGCCTCCAGGTGTCAAACTTCGCAAGCCGACGGCCTTGTCCGAGTCAGAGGACGAAGACGGAGACCCGGCCGCTACTGGTTCGGGCGAGCCTGGTTCGACCGAGGTGCAAGACCCCATGGTGCAAGCCGTTGGCAAGCTGACCGCAATAGTGGCAGTTCTGGCTGCCGACAAGGAGAAGAAGCGCAAGCCTGGCCTCGAGTCTGTCTTAGACGGGGTTCATGGACATGGCGACTCGCTGAGTTCAGGAGCGGGCAAGCGTTCCGGCATGGCCCGCAGGGCTTTGATGCGAGCATTGGTGCAGAGTCCGGAAGAGATCTACATGCTGGTCGAGAAGCTCATGGAGGAGGACCTTCAGGGGCAGACTCGAACTCCCGGGCAGCCAGCCCCATCCCTGTCGGCTCGAGCTTGGGTCGAGCACAGATCCTTCATCGGAAGCTACAAGACGCTGGCGCATGCAAGCTGGGGCATCAGTGGAGTGATAGATTGCCTCATCAGCGGCAAGGTTGCGGAGGCGAGAGCTCGGGCAGACCTTTTGTTGCTTCAGCTGGATCAGGTCGCGGCCGACAGGGGGTCGTGGCAGTTGGCATCCCTTCTGAGTTTGGAGGCGATGCCACCTTTTGCAACACTCGCGGGGCATCACCCGCCAGACACTGCAATGGGCGAGCAGCCCTTCTCGAAGCTGCTAGATCACCGCTGGAGCGAAGTCGCCCTAGCTCAGTTGAAAGAAACAGACGAGTACCTGGAGAAGCGGAAGAAGTTGCAGAGAGGTGGCAAAAAGGACGATCAAGTGAGCGGCGAGGACTCGGCTTCCCCCAAGAGAAAGGCCAAAGCAAGGCCTCCTCGAAAGGGGGAGAACACTGCAACCCCCGAAGCGTAGCTCGCCCTGAGCGGCGGGAGAATTCAAGTGGTCCTGCATTGCAGCAACAAACCCCTGCAACAGTTCCGGGATCCAGAGCTTCATCCTTGAGGATTTCAGCCATTGTTAATTCATTGCCCCGCTGGCTTCTTCAATCCCATTGCAGCTTGCGGAGTTTTTTGCGTACAATTCTCCAGATGCCCAGGGGTGCGGACAGTGCCCCACATGCTCAGGCCAACTCGTCGACCTGGCCTATGCCCGTGCCCTATCCGGAAGCTTTTCGTTCAGGAGAGCATGCGGAAGGATCAGTTCTGATGAAGAAGCGGCTCACGTCGCTTCAGGTCGTGCTTTTGGACTGGTTCTATTTGGGCTCCCCTTCAGTCGCACCAAGTCACTTGCGGCTGGGCAGACGGTTGACAGCGAAACAGTGGTCGGCCGTTGAGGTCATGCGACATTTGGCATGGGATGGCAACACTCCCCAGTTCATCGATGCAGAGGGCATGGGTCGGGGTGCAGCTAAGACGGAGAGCTTCGAGGACGCGCTTGAGGCCCTTCATCGTGCTATGCTGCAGCCTGGCTCGGACATGTTTTCCTACACAGGGTCCCACGTTACAAAACCGGAATCCGTTTTTGACTCTTCAACTTTGACTTGTGGTACGATTGTTGGCAACGTGGCAAAGATGAACATCAGTCCTGCAAAGGCTATAGAAGCAGACAGAGTTGAGCTGCCTTCGCCGCCCTCCTTTGACCCTGTTCCTTTGTTGGATGAAGTCACAGCTTCAGTTTATCAGAGGCCTATCCAAACAGGCGTTGCTGACAGTGACATTGCAGGTGGTCCGAATCCTACAGTGCACATCAGAGCAACAGTTGACAACAAGTTACAATTGCTCCGGAAGCTTTTCCTGACTGGCAGATTGCAGCCGCTACACCGAGACCAGGTCAGGCCTGACCATCTCTCAGGGTTGTTTGCGGTTCCCAAATCATTGACAAGGGACCGCTTGATCTTGGACGCCAGACCGGCGAACCTAGCTGACAGAGCTTTAAACAGGTATTGCAAGACGATGGCATCAGCTTCAGTGTTGACAGACATTGTTTTGGCAGAGCATGAAGTCCTTGCTGCATCTGGTGAAGATTTGCGAGACTTTTTCTACCAATTTGTCGTCGGCCCTGAAAGAGTGCAGAGGAACGCTTTAGCTGATCCCCTGACGCTTGCGGAGGCCTACGAGGTTTTTGGGCGAGATTCCATACCTAGCTCATGGCCTCCACCGATATATTGTGGCTTGTCAACGTTGGCAATGGGCGACCAGAACGCCTCTGAGTTTGCTCAGTGCTCGCACCTCGCGATGATGTTGCGGGCAGGTGTGCTCACTGCTGATGAGATGATTTCCCTTCAAGAGGGGGGCTGCTGGGAGTGGGCGTGATCATAGATGATTTGGTCCTGCTGGAAAAGCTGGTGAGATCTCAGATGCAGAGAGTGACTGAGGGAGCTGCCAGATCCAAAGCAGATGAACGATTGGATTTGGCACTTGCAGCCTATGACAAGCACAAGCTACAGGTCAATTTGAAGAAAGAGTTCCGCAACCAGTTGACAGCCCGTTTTTGGGGCATCGAGCTGGATGGTGAAAAAGGGTTTGTCCGCGGCTCATCGCTGCGGTTGTGGCCGTTGATGGTGGTGACAGCTAGAGTGGCGATGTTGGGACTTTGTTCGGTGACTTTGATGGAAGCACTTGCAGGGTCTTGGGTTTCTTTATTCTCGGTTCGTCGAAGGTTCCTATGTGCCATGAATGGGATATTTGAGGCTCTTGCAATTCCTGACCAGAGCGCTATTTTGCGGGTATCCCCGGAGCTGGTTGGTGAGCTGTGGAGTTTAGTTTTACTTGGTCCCCTGGCAGTCTCAAATTTGAGGGCTCAATTTAACTGCAACCGATGCCTCTTCTGACTGGTTGGCGGCGGTCAGAGCAGAAGCGCCGCAAGCCATTGTGACCGAGGTCGCCCGCAGAGGGCTCAGAAAAGGACGCTGGGCGAAGCTCCTTCCTCCTCACAAGGCGTGGATGCGGGCCGCTGGGTGTTTAGAGCCGGGATCAGAGTTGCCTGAACAAGGGTTCGATGCTAGGCCGCTCTGGGTTCTTTTGGCTAGATGCCTAGACTACAAAGAGAGGTGGCGCCGACGCGCCATGAGGCATTGTCACATCAATGTCCTGGAACTCAGGGCGCACTTGATGGAGGAACGTCGTGTTTCGCAGCAATTTTCGCATCGTAGGTGTTTGTACGGCCTGGATTCACAAGTCGCTTTAGGAGCCATTGTAAAGGGAAGAGCAGCTTCAAGGTGCTTGAACAGAGAGCTTATGAAGTCCCTCCCACATATCATTGGTAGCGACTTGTATGGATCTTATATGTACTTCCCTTCAAAACTGAACAGGGCCGACGGCCCCACTCGGAATGATGTTCCAGCTGAAGCCGATGTTTCTTTGCCGGATTGGTGGGTCACCGCTGCGGGTGGTGACTTCTCTGGTTTAGATGCTTGGATAGAGGCGGCCGAACGGGACGTTGACTACAAAGAGTTTGATTGTTCTGCTTTGCTGCGACCCCTCAAGCTGACTGAGAAGCCACAACACAGGATCCCCTCTCGTATGCGCAATAGAGTTTTTGAGGACCCACGTGACAGTGTCTCCATCGCTCGTGAACCACGCACCCAAACGGCGGCCTCCTTTGTCAAGAAGCAGTTGATTTGTTGAACTCCTTTCCAAGAGGACAGTTTTTGCTTCCAAAAGACTTCAAGGCTTTCGATCAGCCTGGAGCGCTGGATTTGTTCTCTGGCTCCTTCGGAGCTGCAAAGGCCATGATCAGACATCGCGCTCCATGAGTTCTATGCTTTGAGTGGAACCGGAGTGCCACTGAGGATCTGCTGAAACCGGACTTGCGCTCAAAAATCAAGCGCCTCATACAGCTCGGAGCAGTGAAGTGTTGGGGGGCAGCCCCCGTATGTAGCTCCTTTTCAGTTGCTGTGACCCCTCCTGTCAGAACCAAGACTTGTCCAAGAGGCATCACAGGACTGTCGGAAGCAATGAAGCGCAAAGTTCGGGAAGGCAACTCGCATTGTGATTTTATGCATGAGCTTATTTGTATCAGTGCCGATGCGCCGATCACAGTTTATTTTTGGGTAGAAAATCCTGACACCTCTTGGTTTTGGAGACAAAAGCTGTTTATTGACTATAGGCAGGCTGACTCGGAGCATATTTTCCGTTGCTGTTTTTGCCGGTTTGGAACTCCATGGAAAAAGCCGACCCGATTCGCAACAAACATCAAGCCTCTCTGTGGCCTTCGTTTGAATTGTGTATGTAAGCAACCGCACACACAACTTCGAGGTAGATCTCCGCTTGGCAAGGCTTGGACGTTGGTTGCTGAACATTACCCGAGAAGGTTGCGCGAGCTTTTGGCAAAGGCAGTCTGTGCGGCAGCCTCTTGGATTCGTAGCAGCCGTCTGGATGTGGCCGGATGCGCGCGCGCTGGGTCTTTGAGGATTGGTGAGGCTTCCAAACCTGGACCAAGACGTAGATCGACGCGTCATGGTCAAGATCTAGAAGGCATTCAGCTAAGGACGACTACTACTCTAGCCAGAGAGTCGCAGGCTTTAGAGGCTTTCTTGAGTTGGGTGGGAAGATTCATTGTTAGCATAGACCCTGAACAGCTTTTTCCTTTGGTGCCAGAGTTCTTGGTCGCAGCATTATGTAGCTATGGCAGGCATTCATGGGGTGCTGGTGGTACTCTTAGCAGCTATAGGCATCTTGTGTTGTGCTGTCAAAGGTGGGTTCCCTTGTGCAGGGCTTTGACGCAACCGTGTTGGGAATTAGTCTCAAAATGGGAGATAGTTGAACCTGTATGTCATCGAACTCCAGTGCCAGAAGGCCTTTTGAAGGCCTTAGTTGTCACAGCCTGGCAGCTGCGCTGGTTTTCATGGGTGGGAGTCACGTTGATTGCGTTTTATGGCGCTGGACGGGTTGGAGAAGTGCTTCGTTGCTACAGGTCCGACCTGATTTGCCCTTCAGACGTCTTGGATCGAGATCATAGTGGCATTTTTCTCCAGTTGAGACAGTTTAAGGCACTCGGGCGACAGCCTTCAAAGATACAGCACATGGAAATTCAAGATGCCAATGCTATACGACTGATTTGCTGCGTGTTTGAGCATTTCCCCAAAGACATGTTGCTATATGCAGCCTCCCCGTCGGCCTACAGAAGGCGATGGGATTACCTGCTGCAGCTTTGCGGCATTCCTTTGGAACTGAGAATCACGCCCGGAGGTTTGCGGGGGGGTGCTGCCGTCATGATGTATCGGAAGCACACTCCGATCCATGACATCCTTTGGCGGCTACGTTTAAGGAGTCAGTCGACTTTGGAAAGCTACTTGCAAGAGACTGCAGCTAGTGCCATTTTCGTGTCTTTAGACCCTAGTGTGCGGAATCGACTTTTCAATATTGGTGCTCTTTTTGAGTTGCTAGGCATTTCCTGACCAGGCCCTTCAGCTGAAGGACCGACGACCGACCGCATTGCACTCGGCCATGCTGGCCAGTTGTCCTGTTCCTGGCTCGCCCTTTTTAA